TATTATTATGTAAAAAATTAAAATCCAATTTGGCTTTGTTCAAACGAAGAGTAATCTTTTCATATTTTCTTAATAAATAAACTGGTAATCTTCTTGAACTGAAATCCTTGATAATAGAACCAAATGGACGTAAGTTGGCAAAAAATACAACGCATTTTAAAAATAACACAAAAGATTTAATGGAAGACATGTTTCGGGTTAACTTCAACCCATCATCAGTTAACAAAAAAACACAACAGAAATGAACCAAATACTTTTCATGTAGACTATATATATATAGGTAATTATTATGCTGAATATTAAATAGATAGATTGATTTGTTTGACAATATGTTTGACCAACTATAGTAAGTCTGAAATCTGGACTAAATGTAGCTAATTATTATTCTGAATATATAATTGAATACCATGATTTGTTAACCAAAGGTTAGTAAAGCAATAGTAAGTCTGTAATATGGACCAAGTGTAGCTAATTATTATGTAGAATATATAATCAGGTACATTGATTTGTTTGACAAAAGTTTGTGAAGCTATAGTTAAATGCAAGGTAACAAGTGCTTGCATAATAACTATTGCTTACATGTATATTTAAATAAGCTTTAAGAACATGTTTAATTTGCAAATTAAGATCAGGATTGTTCCATTTTATGTAAAGGGATTCTTTGATTTTCAATTTGATTTCATTGTTATCAATATCCAATATAGAGAAACATTTCTTATCAGACAACTTTTTACATTTACTGTTTGCATTAAGGTGTTTAAGTATGTGTGAATTTTTATCCTTTCCAAGATGTTCACCAATCCTCGTAATTAATCTACGGCCTGTATAGCCTATATAACTGGAATTACATCCAGCACATTTAAATTTATATACTACTGAGGATCAGGATTCATTGGGGATAGTATCTTTAGTACTAAAGAACTGACTGATTTTAGTGGTACTAAATATCACATGTACTTTACAATCAATACAGTATTTTTTGACAAGATCCATGATTCTCCATTTCATGTTGTCAGAAAATATGCCAATATATGGAAGTTTAACAAAAAGTGTTTTAACATTGTCATCATTGACAGTTTTCTTTGTAATATCAGAAATTGTGTTATCTATATAGTTTTTAATAGACTTGTCAACAATGTGAATTGGGTAAAATAGTCTGACTTTTTCTTTAACTTTATCCTTTCTTATCCATATAGTGTGAAGGCGATTAATTGATACTGAAGTGATCCTAATATTTTGGCTTTTCTCCATTCTTCTTTTCATCTCTTTTTGTAATAGTGTACTCGGTTTTTAGATTAAAATTTGTGTTGTTCAATGCCATCTATGTTGTTTCTTCTCTCTAAACTCACAAAATCCACGTCATCGGCGTATGCAAGTTCTATTTGAAAGTCCACTTCTCGTTCCAATCGAAGATACTTAAGTGCGTGTTCCAGATACACTATAAATAGGATAGGGCTTAGACTATCGCCTTGCGGTGTTCCGGTGTTTGATTCTAGTGGGAATATCCCTGATGCACCTTTGATACATACGTTAAGTCCCGTCTGGCTAAGTAGAAATCCGACTATGCGGTGTTCATCTTCGTCTATGATTTCCTTTAGAATCTCTAAAAGTTTGTCTCTGTGGATAGTATCAAACGCGCTTGAAAAGTCGATGCCTGTTATATGTATTTCCATCTTGTATTTAAATGCCTTTGCTATGAACCATTTGTAAGAAAATAACACTTCACTAGTACTTCTACCTTTGCGAAATCCGCTTTGGCTGATATGTAGGTAGTTGTCGATTTTGTCCTTAATTCTATTCATGCTAGTTATTGAGAGACATTTCCTTATTGTGTTTGTCCTTTTACTTTACCTGGTTTATGTACAGTAGTACAAATATGTCCGCAATAACGGGGGCAAGTATGTACGCGCCGTATTTAAGAAGTTCTCCTGCTATCATGTCTTCGCCGGCCGCTCTGTTATTGTTTAGTTGTTTTAAACTTTGTTTAATCTCCTCTTCTTTGATTTAATTTTAAGTGGTCTAGCATTTCCTATCAAATATTATATATATATATTATATTGGTC